TCTGTTCCGCTTTGAAAGAAATAGAGAGCCAGTATAATTAAAGGCTTTGAGGCATTCCATAGTAGTTCTCAGAGATGAAAAAGTAGCTGCAGGTGCCCAGGGGATGTAGTAGCCACTTACCGTCCAGTGGACTGTTAGTTCATTTGTCACTTTTATAGAATGTAATAGTATTATCTAACGAATTTTGTGTTTCATTAAATCAATAATCATTCGACAGTAAGCAGCATCAAAGATACGACACAACTGGAACTATGATCATTAATCCGCCTGCCATACGTGACAATACCGGCGAATCCTTCATGTTTTGGTAGAGTTTTCAGGCTAATAAGGTTGAATTTATATTTGCGAATATTTGAACGATTTATAACATTTTATATGATATGAAAGGACTAATCTGGATTACCATTCTTTACTATTAATATTATTTAACTTTTGCTTGAATGCTTCCAAAATTTTTGTACGTGGTAGAGCCAAGGTAGTATAATTATAGATAGTATACTAGTAGTATATTTATAGCACGAATGGGTCGGCTCGAAAGGACTACACTCTTACAGAATGCCAGCGTAAAATGGCAGCTATAGACTGCTGTGTTTCGTATGGTGAGTGTAGAGATCCGGAGACCCATTTTACTGGAAAAGAGGCAGTCCATCTTAGTCCTCACGGGTGACAACGCATCTGCATCTTGAGTCTTTATTGAGGATAGATGAAGATGTCTATGGGCCACAGCAACCACTTACCATCAAATGTACTGTGTTCTCGTTTGTTACCATATCCAATTTATACATATATATCCTTAGTGGTTCAAATGCTTGATTAGTAATATCTAAGCAAGCATTTGAATCATCTCACCCAATCGACCCACTAAAAACTAAAGTTGTTTAAGGTTTGAAGCTTAAACTGCTTACATTCTTCAGTTCAAAATTTCCAAGCTTCTCGATTTTTAAATTAGATATTTGATGTATAAACCATCTATCTTATTCAAAGTATGATGTAATATTGATGAAATTTTTCAAGTTTTACTGCGAACATTTACTCGTAAAATGCGGTTCATATTGCAGGATGCAAAACAAATTCACGTTAAGTATTAATTAACAAGACATTATATTAGACCGTAATTCAAGTTGCTTGGCTTTTGAAGTAAAGCACTTTAAGGCTCTCTAAATAAAAATGTAGCTTTTCACATACATCTAAATAAAAAAAATATATTAATTAAGTAGTTACTAGCTTTTTACCCACGACTTCGCTTACGTATGCTTCTGCTTAGTGAAATAATATGGTGTTCTGTGTCATAATGTCTGTCTGTGTGCAACAGTCGTTTTCTCAGGTTTTTCATGTGGATGGTTTATTCCTTATAATATGCAATAACGTAAATACAGAAATTCGTTTTGGAGAATTGTATCACAATCAGATAAATGCGTTATGCGTAAAGCTATTAAAACAGTTTTCACGAAATTATTACGCTATTCGTACTTTTTACTTATTAATACATTTTTATAGTGAATTTGAAAAATTATGCTGAATGGTCTTCGCTTAGTTAACGGTATATTGTTTACGGGTGATATTAGATCTAAGTTTGAGTAGACCTCAAGATTTCATGAATGTTCGAGTTTTTATCGTCGCCATTATAAATGTTAACGATACAATGAAAACAAAAAAGTGTAATATCTCAGAAAATATGAATTACAAACAGCTCTATTCAAAGTAAAGTAGCATCCTTCACTAAACGTCTGACAGATGGGAACAGACCGCAGAAGTGTGTGAGACAGGAAAGAATTTACTGTGCTGACCCAATGCGAGATAACCGACTCCACATGTGCTCACAATATATAAATATTTTTTTACATCTCAGGCATTTAGGATATCTTAATATGTACCTTTACCGCCGAACACGTGAAGAAAATCAGGGTCAGGGAAAGTGTTGTTTTTATTTATACATTTTTATTTTGAAAATACTCTATTGGAATATTTTGTTTCATGCAACTTGTAAATATTCTGTTACAAAAAAGGTTTTGACTGTAGCAAAAAATGTAATCATTAAAAAATTTATGACAAAATAACTTTATTTTATTCATTCCATCAACCCATTTCTTCTCACCGATGTCGTAGAAAGCTGCTATGGGATAAGCGTCAAAACGATAACGACGAACGTCCAAACGAACGGCATCCGAGGGATGAAGGTATAGCTATTATGTTAATGCTTAAATTATATTATTAAAAAGTAAATGATATGTTTACCTGCAGTTTGATTCCATATTAGTTCTAACTTAGAATTAATAAGAATTAATGTACGGACGTGTGAATTAATAAGAATAAACATGTGTATTTACTAAATGAATGAACGTTAGGCCTACACATCTTGATCGGCAAGGAGAAGTACCGTCATAAGTATGGAATATCTGGTAACATGATCATCAATTCGCCCATCAAGCGTGACGATGAAGGCAAATGCTCCCTACAACCAGAGAGACCATGAGACTTTTACGAGCTGCTGATGAAAAAGAAAAATATGCATTTATCTATCGTTATATGGTTGAGCCGATTTAAATATAATGGCTGCAGCACGAATGGGTCAACTCGATTGCTCCCGCAATCACTTTCTACAGAATATCATATGATAATGAGCGAGTGCAGAGAACTGGTGACACATACTGGTAATGAATCATTCCGTCTTAACCCTTAGGGGTTGGCATTTGTACTTCTATTCACACTGTCCCAACACTCACTTAAGTACCATCAGGTGAACTGTGTGCGCGCTTGTCATACTTATTCTATAAAAAAAAACTGCTAAGGCGTGGTGTTTCTTTCCGGTTAAGATGTGTTTACAAAAAAATTTATGATGTCGCGATGAACATTTTGAAAATACTAGGAAAAAGCGCAGATTAGTAATACCAGTTTCTAGATTTCGAAGAGTCAATAATTCCTACATGGGACAAAGTATAATTTATGTACATTTTCTCCACAGTCTAAGAAAATATGCGGAGACTACTATCAAAATTTTAAGTTTTTTATTACTGGCACCATTTTATACAAAAACTATATAAAGGGGACCACGCTTTATTGAAAAACATTGTAAAAATATTATTTGAATCAGAGTCCCGCTGAGTTCCTTTCAGGTTCATCTCAGTTCAGATTTTTTTCTCAAACTAATGGTAAAAGCATAAATGGCATGTATGAATTACTTATAGGTAATCTATATTTAACATTCTATTGTATAATATTACATCGTTCTATTTCGTTTCATTTTATTCCATTATGTTCTACTCCATTTTATTCCTTTCTAATCCATCTCATTCCATGGCACATTATTCCAATCCATCCCATAGCATCCGATTCCATCCCATTGCATTCTTTTCTATTCTGATCTATTTGTTCAGCTGTTGCGTTTCATTTTATTCCATTTTATCACACTTATCCATTATATTTCATTGTATTTTATTCCAACCTATCCCTCCCCAATCCATCCCATTCCGTCGCACCCATCCTATTCCATTACAATATATTCTATTTTTATTCTTACCTGTCTTGCCTCTTAGTTCATGTTTTGTACTGTACTGTATTTTATACTATTCCATTCCATTTCGTTCCGTTCCATTACAGTCTTGTATCCATTACACACCGTTTAAATCCAAGCTATTCCACGTCATTCTATCCTGATCTATCCCATCCCATTCCATGCCATTTAGTTCAACACCATGCCTATTCCATATCCATTCTTTATTCATTCCCATTCCATTACACTCTTTTACATCCCATAGTACCCTATCCCATTAAATCCCATCCCATTCCATTCCCTTATATTCCGCTCTATTAGGCTCTACTCTGTTATATTCTGTACTTTTATAATCTTTTCTGTTCCATTTTGCTCAATTTTGTTATATTAATGTCCATTCTGATTTGTTATGTTTTGTGTTCAATTCTATTCTAGCCTATTTCATCACAATCTATCACAACTCATTTCCTTCTATTCCGCTCTTCTCTATTCTGTTATCGTTTATCGTGTTTTGTTTGTTTATTTATGTTCTGTTCTGTTCTTATGTTGTTCTATTCATTATAGACTTTCACAAGTACAGTGCTGAAAATAGGCCTCCTTCACGTGCTAAATCCAAATGCTAGAAAAAATGGTCCCTCAAGTCTCACCAGTTTGTCGTTCTATTTGTTAGGTGCCTATTTTACGACTAAATGACACACTAAGAAGTAAATATAATTAACTGTATTTATTTTACACTTGTTTCACATTGTACAACTATTAAAATGACACAATAGCTGCGGTCCTTGGTCATAAAGAGATAATCTGTGGCTGCAGTTACAAGTTAGCGCACTCAACTCGTACTATCATCTTAAGAAGACAACGAAAAGGAAATAAGTAGTTTACTGAAATACGAATATTGCTACATAACCAAAACACTGTTCCGTTTTATGTACAAGAATCGTACACTATCTAATATGTTGATTCCCTTAAGAAGTTCTTCATCAAGAATTTTAAATCCCCATTGATTGTCGGTTCGTTGAGTAATATGGCTCTTGAGTAATAAGGGCTGGCTCATTGCCACTTTAGCTTATCAATTACCTTTGAGCAATTTCGTTTTTTTCTTGCTCTTGCATTACATTGCAATGCATTAAATATTCACAAGTCTACTGAAGACAGTGATCTACGGGGTTTCTATATGTCGAAGGTTTAAGAATAGAAGCGATCGAACCAACAAAGCCCTATGCTTTATTTGCAGTATTTAATTTGTACATGTCATTGATTTGCTATATGTTGTCGTCATTATTGCGTTATGTATGTGCAGCATTGTTCATATGACAGCGCCATCTATCTCATACCATGTACAACAAACTAGCGACATCTAGATCGCCCGTACTGTAACTAGGAAGTAACCTAACCATTGTATCGATCACAGAGTGTGTTAGTTATAGAACCTAAGCAATTAGTTCCATTGTAATACCGCTGAGGGCGCTGTACGAGACTATAAATATGAAGAGCCTTGCCAAGGCTCGTCCATTTTGATCGATTGCACAACAATAAAACATATTTTCCAAGAGATCGCAGTCTTTGCTGTAACATATTTTTTGGTGACCCCTACTGCAAGAAGGGCAAAAAAAACGCAGGGGCCAAGCAGATATCCACAAGGAGAAGAGCGACGTAAAGCGGACATCGTTGAACGGCTGGCTAATCGCCCGCCCGACCAGCAACTCCGACAACGTGGCGCGTGGCACGTGGCGCGGTGGTGAAGCATCGTGCGAGGCACGTGGCCGCGAGGTGCGAGGCCGCGAGGCTACAAAGCTTCGAGGCTGCCCTGGACACAAAAAAACGAGCACGGGAACCGAGTGCCGTGCATCGTTGAAGAAGAAATCGGGTACCACAAGACTTCAATTGCCTGGTGAGACCTTTCCTTTCTTCTTTTACAAGCAAAGAGAACTCTGTGATCTCCCTCACAGGACTGCAATTCGGCGTCGCTGTGTATCAATTCCCTCAACTGCGCGTGTTGTTCGAGTGGCACGTGGCACGTGGCGGCACGTGGTGTGCCGGCCAACCAACCAACCAAGGCGAATACGAAGCCAGCGGACAAGAGGAAACAGAGAAAAGTGAGCATCCTTTCTTATTCCTTCCTTTCCGTATTTTTTCTGGTTTAGTATTCCCATTAATTTACTAGTAAAAATGTCTAGTGATGAGGCTAACGAAAAGCCAACTCCTTTAGAGAGTCAAGAACTAAGGGAGTTAAAAAAGAAGCGAAAATCCTATAGAGGAAAACTTACTATGTACTGCAATTTTGTAAAGAAATTTAGAGAAATTAACGTAGAAAAATTATCTGCCTCTCAAATATTAGATTTACAACTAAGAACCGAAGCTGTAGGGTCTATATACAATATTTTAGATACTATACAAGAAAGGATCGATGTATTGTGTACCGATATAGACGAGCAATTAGCAGACCGTCAAAAATATGATGATGCCTATTTTGAAAATGTAGCTCATGCTAAATTAATGATAAATTCCAAGCAATCCGGACATGCCCCCAACCAAGTACAAGTTGTAAATGTTCAAAATAAACCAGAGACACAGGACATAATTAGATATCCTGAAATTTCATTACCATCATTTAGCGGAGGAATGAACGATTGGTTGGAATTTAGAGAAACCTTTGATTCACTAATTAACCAAAGTCAAATGAATAGTATTCAAAAATACAAATATCTACGAAGCTGCTTACAAGGTGGCGCTCTGGAGGTAGTCAGCTCACTCGAATTCACAAGCGAGAATTACTCCTTGGCTTGGAATCTACTCTGTGAGAGGTACAACAACCCACGTTTATTAATAAATAAGCATCTGAAAGGGCTATTCAATATGGAAACAATTTCATTTCAAGCTAGCTCTTTGAGGTCTGTCATAGATAATATATCCAAACATTTACGATCTCTAAAGTCACTTTCGATACCTGTTAGTGAATGGGACCTAGTAATTATACATTTTATTAGTTCCAAATTACCACTTTCCATACAAAGAAAGTGGGAAGAGCGGATTAGCTCGAAGGAATTGCCTTCCTTGCAGGAATTTAAGGATTTTCTCCGCTCTCGAGCTGACCTGCTAGAAGTGTCACACTCAGACGAAGTAAGTTCTGACAGTCGCGACAAAAGGTCTTTGGTGGCCACGTCCTCCTCCGTCACTCCGAGACCAGAGAAGCAAAATTTACATCAATGTCCACAGTGCAAGGGTAAGCATTATATTAATCAGTGCCCAGGATTTTTAAGCCTGAGTCCAGTGATGCGCATCCGCGCCGTCAAAAGGTTAAAGCTCTGCCTCAACTGCCTGAGCCCTAACCATGCAGTGATAAACTGTCGCTCATCAACGTGTAGGCAATGTCAAGGTAAGCATAATACACTTCTCCACATACCTACCGAAGGTACACAACACCAGCAAACATTTCAATCACATCCAACAACGCTACTAAACTCGCATTTGGCGCATACAAACCAACAAACTAATCATACCGAGAACAAAATGCAGCGATCGGCACAACCGAGTACAAGCACATCAAACAGTGCGCGGTTTATTGCTACCGGACCAGCGACACTTACGAATACGGTGACTTCACATGTCGTACACAACAAAACTATTTTTCTCTCCACCGCTCGTGTCTATGTTTTTAACAATAAAAATAAACGTCACACTTTACGAATTCTTTTTTTTTATTTTACGAAAATTTGTCAAACATAATTCGAGTGATCTGGCGGCTTCCTGTTCATCACAAATATTGAGTGGAAATTTATTCCTGTTTATTCACCCCATATGGGTGGTATTTGGGAAGCAGCCGTCAAAGGTGTTAAGTTTCACTTAAAAAGGACATTAAATCAAAGTTTGTTAACGTATGAGGAGTTCGCAACTCTTTTAATAGAAATTGAGGGAATACTAAACAGTCGACCCCTCTGCCCCCTCCCTACTCCCGACACAGACATAATCCAAGTCCTTACCCCTGCTCACTTCCTCATTGGAAGACCGATTACTTCTCTGCCAGACTTCGAATACAAAGACATACCAATGACGAGATTGAAACACTTTCAACAACTCCAACAGATGTACCAGGGATTCTGGAGAAGATGGTCACGTGACTACGTGGGGCTCCTTCAGCAGCGAAGCAAATGGCGAAGCTCCAAAGGACCCAGTCTGGCTGTCGGCACGATCGTCCTAGTCAAAGACGATCGCCTCCCTCCCTGTCTTTGGGCGCTGGCGAGGATCATCGCAGTACACCCGGGCCCTGACAACACTGTTCGTGTCGCAACGATGAAGACGTCAAAGGGAGCCATCATCAAGCGTAGTTTCAACTCGATTTGTCCTTTACCAACGGACTGTAATTAGTGTCTAGTTTATAGGTACCTAATACTAGTATAGGTAGTTATCATTAAGCATATCCTAATTAAGTTTCAATATGTTATTTAAGTACATAAGTTTACTTACATTTCTTGCAAATAAATATTGGTTTCAAAGTAGGGATCAAGTTTAGGTAGGTAATAAAATGAAGCCTTTCCTATTGTTCAAACTTAGCTTAGGGGTGTTTCACTCATTTGATTTATTCAATTTTCATTCATTTAGATGTGCCCAGGTCATGGACAAACTGTTTAGAAAGCTCGGCAGTTTCTTTGTGACAGGGTAAATATTTAGGTAGGTAAATTACCAAAGAGTAATTTAAATTTGTAATTTGGTTTTGAAATGGTAATATTAGTTTACCTATTTACTTTCTTCAATTTGAAATTACCATTTCAAGGCCGGAGCATGTTCAGATGACAGCGCCATCTATCTCATACCATGTACAACAAACTAGCGACATCTAGATCGCCCGTACTGTAACTAGGAAGTAACCTAACCATTGTATCGATCACAGAGTGTGTTAGTTATAGAACCTAAGCAATTAGTTCCATTGTAATACCGCTGAGGGCGCTGTACGAGACTATAAATATGAAGAGCCTTGCCAAGGCTCGTCCATTTTGATCGATTGCACAACAATAAAACATATTTTCCAAGAGATCGCAGTCTTTGCTGTAACATATTTTTTGGTGACCCCTACTGCAAGAAGGGCAAAAAAAACGCAGAGGCCAAGCAGATATCCACAAGGAGAAGAGCGACGTAAAGCGGACATCGTTGAACGGCTGGCTAATCGCCCGCCCGACCAGCAACTCCGACAACGTGGAGCGTGGCACGTGGCGCGGTGGTGAAGCATCGTGCGAGGCACGTGGCCGCGAGGTGCGAGGCCGCGAGGCTACAAAGCTTCGAGGCTGCCCTGGACACAAAAAAACGAGCACGGGAACCGAGTGCCGTGCATCGTTGAAGAAGAAATCGGGTACCACAAGACTTCAATTGCCTGGTGAGACCTTTCCTTTCTTCTTTTACAAGCAAAGAGAACTCTGTGATCTCCCTCACAGGACTGCAATTCGGCGTCGCTGTGTATCAATTCCCTCAACTGCGCGTGTTGTTCGAGTGGCACGTGGCACGTGGCGGCACGTGGTGTGCCGGCCAACCAACCAACCAAGGCGAATACGAAGCCAGCGGACAAGAGGAAACAGAGAAAAGTGAGCATCCTTTCTTATTCCTTCCTTTCCGTATTTTTTCTGGTTTAGTATTCCCATTAATTTACTAGTAAAAATGTCTAGTGATGAGGCTAACGAAAAGCCAACTCCTTTAGAGAGTCAAGAACTAAGGGAGTTAAAAAAGAAGCGAAAATCCTATAGAGGAAAACTTACTATGTACTGCAATTTTGTAAAGAAATTTAGAGAAATTAACGTAGAAAAATTATCTGCCTCTCAAATATTAGATTTACAACTAAGAACCGAAGCTGTAGGGTCTATATACAATATTTTAGATACTATACAAGAAAGGATCGATGTATTGTGTACCGATATAGACGAGCAATTAGCAGACCTTAACCGTCTTTGCTGTAACATCTGTCTTGGTTGGGGGCATGTCCGGATTGCTTGGAATTTATCATTAATTTAGCATGAGCTACATTTTCAAAATAGGCATCATCATATTTTTGACGGTCTGCTAATTGCTCGTCTATATCGGTACACAATACATCGATCCTTTCTTGTATAGTATCTAAAATATTGTATATAGACCCTACAGCTTCGGTTCTTAGTTGTAAATCTAATATTTGAGAGGCAGATAATTTTTCTACGTTAATTTCTCTAAATTTCTTTACAAAATTGCAGTACATAGTAAGTTTTCCTCTATAGGATTTTCGCTTCTTTTTTAACTCCCTTAGTTCTTGACTCTCTAAAGGAGTTGGCTTTTCGTTAGCCTCATCACTAGACATTTTTACTAGTAAATTAATGGGAATACTAAACCAGAAAAAATACGGAAAGGAAGGAATAAGAAAGGATGCTCACTTTTCTCTGTTTCCTCTTGTCCGCTGGCTTCGTATTCGCCTTGGTTGGTTGGTTGGCCGGCACACCACGTGCCGCCACGTGCCACGTGCCACTCGAACAACACGCGCAGTTGAGGGAATTGATACACAGCGACGCCGAATTGCAGTCCTGTGAGGGAGATCACAGAGTTCTCTTTGCTTGTAAAAGAAGAAAGGAAAGGTCTCACCAGGCAATTGAAGTCTTGTGGTACCCGATTTCTTCTTCAACGATGCACGGCACTCGGTTCCCGTGCTCGTTTTTTTGTGTCCAGGGCAGCCTCGAAGCTTTGTAGCCTCGCGGCCTCGCACCTCGCGGCCACGTGCCTCGCACGATGCTTCACCACCGCGCCACGTGCCACGCGCCACGTTGTCGGAGTTGCTGGTCGGGCGGGCGATTAGCCAGCCGTTCAACGATGTCCGCTTTACGTCGCTCTTCTCCTTGTGGATATCTGCTTGGCCTCTGCGTTTTTTTTGCCCTTCTTGCAGTAGGGGTCACCAAAAAATATGTTACAGCAAAGACTGCGATCTCTTGGAAAATATGTTTTATTGTTGTGCAATCGATCAAAATGGACGAGCCTTGGCAAGGCTCTTCATATTTATAGTCTCGTACAGCGCCCTCAGCGGTATTACAATGGAACTAATTGCCTAGGTTCTATAACTAACACACTCTGTGATCGATACAATGGTTAGGTTACTTCCTAGTTACAGTACGGGCGATCTAGATGTCGCTAGTTTGTTGTACATGGTATGAGATAGATGGTGCTGTCATCTGAACATGCTCCGGCCTTGAAATGGTAATTTCAAATTGAAGAAAGTAAATAGGTAAACTAATATTACCATTTCAAAACCAAATTACAAATTTAAATTACTCTTTGGTAATTTACCTACCTAAATATTTACCCTGTCACAAAGAAACTGCCGAGCTTTCTAAACAGTTTGTCCATGACCTGGGCACATCTAAATGAATGAAAATTGAATAAATCAAATGAGTGAAACACCCCTAAGCTAAGTTTGAACAATAGGAAAGGCTTCATTTTATTACCTACCTAAACTTGATCCCTACTTTGAAACCAATATTTATTTGCAAGAAATGTAAAGTAAACTTATGTACTTAAATAACATATTGAAACTTAATTAGGATATGCTTAATGATAACTACCTATACTAGTATTAGGTACCTATAAACTAGACACTAATTGATGTTACGATGGATAAAATAACGTAATTTTTCACTTTCATTTTAAAGAAATAGCCAAAATTAGAATTTTATTTAACAACGTCTTCGAAGATTTAGATTGCGTTTTATATATAAATATTCCAATGCAACATTATTTAGAAAGGCGACCAAAATTAACATGAAAGTTAATATGCAGTGTTAACAAAATACATTAATTACTAAGTTTTTATACGTATAGAGTTTCCGCATAAAATTATAATGGTGGTTTCGAGCACAGAGAGGCAGAGTCGTAGCATTTGAAAATATTATATTTGTTAATCAATTTTTGCAACTACTAACGATAGAATTACTAAATAAGTAGTGTATTTAGAAAGCTAGAAATATACTTTATAAGAGTGCGATGATGACTGGCAAAAGCGAAAAACCCGTAAGAAATTTATTGTCATGATAGCTTATAGGAATCCGAGTTCGAACCTCGTGAAATCGTGGCATCAGTGAAATTTAAAATTGTAATTTGAGGCGCTGACTAATCACGTACTTGGTCTTAAAGTTAAACCTATATATGTGTGAGAATAAATAATTTGGAGAACACGATCCGATAACACGCGCTGAAGTAGTGCGGCGAACTAATCTCCAAAACATCATAAGAAATTACAGTAGTCTCGTGACTGTATTTTGGCTAAATGTTAATTATTTATTGAATAAAACTATTTTTACGGATTTTATCGCGTTTAATTAACTTATTTTATATTCCCGACGTTTCGGTTGCTTTCCAGCAACCGTGGTCACGGGGGACTCCACGGTTGCTGGAAAGCAACCGAAACGTCGGGAATATAAAATAAGTTAACTAAACGCGATAAAATCCGTAAAAATAGTTTTATTCAATGTGTAGTGTTCGCGTAAATATAAGAAATCATTATGTTAATTATTTAAATCATTACATCACATTACTCCACCACTGGCAAACAGAGATCTATTCAATAAACTGCTATAATGCCGCATGAATCGTTTTGGGAGGCCACTCTTCACTGCGCTAGCCTGTATGATGCTTTAAGGATCGATACCCTAAAATTTGTGCAATCCATAGCTTATTGAATAAAACTAAGCTTCCTACTGCCAATAATTCTGACAGTGTTATATATATTATTTATATATAATAGAATAAAACAAAATAAAATAATTTTGATTCAACATAGATTATTACATAATACTTACTAAAAGTTATTTTGTTAAATACCACATTATAAGTATATAAGAATATAAATGATCGTTTTTCAAAATCCAATAACATGCAATAAAATGGTGTTTAACACTTTTATTGGATAACGACGGAGGTGCTGTCGTTGCAAAGCGTGCAGTTTTCGACAGCGTTATGTGTATCTTTGACAAATATTTATGTTGAATGCTTCATAAAACTTGCATAAATGAAACATTTTATTAATCTGACTTGAGTTAGTTTATTATGTAATTTACAACAAAAGTAGATTTCCATGTAGGCTTCATGGTTATCTACACACAAAATGAAGAATGTAGGTTTTAATTATAAAGGTAAATAGCATAGATCTGTATCATTCATTTTAAAAAGGAAATGCGTGGTATCAGTAAAATAAAATTAATAATACCAATATATTTAATTTCTGCTACATATGTTAAAGGAGATTCAACCTTAAATGTGACAGTAATGTTCGTCTAGCCGTGTAGTGATTGTGTTAGTCAATCAACTGCTCCATATTGTCCCGTGAGTGTCGTGAATGGGTAAAGAGGAAAATAAACTAAGAGAAGATCGGCAGTAGTGACCAACCCAAGCGACGAACCAACCCAACTCGCCTATCAAGCGTAACCACTATTTCAACTATCCCTACTTGAAATAAGCATGACAAGAACACACAGTCTCCCTGATATATTGTGAATACTATGGTATTTAGACATCTA